CTGTTACATGCATACATATACATTTAAAATAAAATATAAAAATGCTCTATTTGTTTTGCTAGGCGAATCTTCTCGTTTGTTAATAACTTTATATATTATGATGCATTTCACTGTTTATATCCAATTCGGGGTATCTTCACAATTTGTTCCCTAATGAATTGTACGCGATCATTGACAACATCATTTCTAAATCACAATGCTGATAATAAATTTCAACATTACAAATTACAGGCCTTTGCCGTTGATAGCGGCTTGTTATTTACAAATGACATTAGAGCTTCTGAAGGGTAGTAAATGAATTGTCGATAGGACTTATTTTCAGGATTCACTCCGTTTGCAAACAGAAAGATGGCTTCAAAGGGTTCTGGTACACTCAGGCTTTGTCCGAGGCGAGCATCCACCAACTCAAAGTACCTGCTGGGTCCAGAAGGCGCTAACTTTTCTGAGGGCAAAATACAGTTTTCTAGTGACATGTTGTCTTTTCTAGACTCCGAATGATTCAATTAAATTAAAAATAGCTAAATTCCCCTATCTTAGGGAATCAATGGCCAGTTGCCGAACGGTACCATTTCCTTAAATAGAATTGTTACGAGGTCAATTGTGACATTCGTTAAGTTCCGATTTCCGTTGTCTTTGTTGCTATCAATAGGCGAATCACCCTTTGCTACAAGTTTCTTGACTGTTTATATAAATAATAATGTCTAATGATCTTTGTCTAAGTACATACGTAAAAGGCGATCGAGTTAATGACTTCTGGAAAATATATGCGCACGAAGTCCTCTTAACCCATGATCTGTCTTTTCCTTTATACCAGGCGCCCATAAACGTGGAATTTGGACACATTTCAGCAGTTAAGATTCTCATACGCTCGCTGGTCTTTTGCTGTGTCTAATGTTATTGTTTGTTTCAATTATCTCAATTATCTGTTGTTCTAATCGAGCTTTTCATAACAATTATTCCAAGCAATATGAAAACGTGGAATCATTCGCTACAGCTACATATTTTGTTTTGTTGTAAGTTGATGTCGGAGTAGACCCCGTGGGTCCGTTTCTGTTCCATTTTCTTGGGCGTGAATTAAAGAGCTTAAAAGATACTTTCCTGGACTGCGCGTTCTGACCATATCATTGTATGTTTGCAGTCACCGAAATGTTTGCACTACTGAAGAAAATGAAAAAATCATTGCTTAGGCTGCACAGTCAACGCTCTCCCGACTTTCTCACGCGCATGTGCATAATCATAGTGATGAACATGCGATTACTTTGAAGCAAGTTCATCGACTTTTTATTTCTAGCCGAATGGTAAGCCGACGCTCTCATTCGGCGAGCCCACAAGCATCGTAAGAAGCTTTAAATTTGTAACATGCTAAGACAAATAATGTAGGTAAAGGAGACGGGGACGACCATAAGCGAAATAGCAATAGGTGATCGAAATAGATTAAAGGATTCCTTTTCTAAAAGGATTCTTTTTCATGGACCCATGATTTTTGTGAGAAGCAGACTCGATTTAGTGTCAGTTTCTAAGAAAATGGTAGGTAAATTATTTTTTATAAAATTTATATTTTATATTTTAATTATTTTCGAATTTAATTCATTGATTATTCCAGGTTATAAGAAACAACAAATACAATTCACAAAAGGGTCCATTGTTTTAATACATTCGTGAACATAGTGCCGTTTTCCAATGCAACTGAAACGAAACTGGGCCAAACTTCATAGGACAACAAGACGCAGAAAACTTCGAAATTTGATATGCATTTGTATGCTTACACTTAAATCCTAGGCATAATTTAAATATTAAGTCAAAATTGATGATTTATTAATTGAAAGGTGAACTAAAATAGGTTATGAAAAACCACTAAAGTAGTGTTGAAAAAGCGATGGAAATTTCACTCTCCTCAAAAATTAGTGGGCAATTAGTGATTAAAATTTGGTAAGCGAGTGATGGCTCGATTCTTGCACGTTAAAATGCGCATTAGCAGCCGGGATTTATAACTATAATTTGCACTGTTTTTTGTGCTGCTTTTCTTTGCGATGATTTCCTAGGACATGCCAATGTTAAAATCATCGCTAGTAGGCGCTAGAGATTTATACTGAGTTGTGATTCACTGTTGAAGAAAGGGCTGGTTGAAACTGGACGGTACAAACATACCTTTACATATAAACCTGTAAAAGTATTAAAAGCCGAAAAATTAAAAATGGTGCTGTTAAAGAAAATACAAAGCAAAATGGTAACAAACCAGACCTCATTGCTGCGGATAGAATGAAGCAAAAATGTGTCCAAATGTAAATTAGTCAGTAAACCTGTAAACGAAAACTACGATACTCTTCCGTCAAAAACTTGTCCTGCATTTAAGCCTCAAAAAATATGCCTTCGTTTCCTCTTTTTAGTGTGCTTTCTTACTGGAACTGACCCACCTAAACAGTTTTTATCTCATTTAAATCAGACTAATAACCGATACATTCAGGATCCACAATCTGCTGCTATTTGACCGATGCGTTCGGGATCCACTACCCGCAATAGCTTTACCGATACCATCGTGTTCCTCATCAGGCTACGCGGCCCAGTACATTGCCAGTTCCGTCGCTCATATAGTAATACCAAGCAATAAATATTCCGTACCCTCAGACGACCAGGGATAGTATATAGGCCTTTCTGGTCAGTTCCTTGATCGAAAAATGAACTGTTGACGCGCACTGCTGGGTCTGGACTCTACGCTCTCAATCACCAGAAACCACATATGGATTGTATTTACGTTAATTTTTTACAAGATATCAGATAACACCGACTATCAGATACCCGTTACTTAGCTAGTGCAAGTGCAAACGCGAAATTTCAAAAATGTCTGGACTATCGTTAGAAATTGGGAAAAAAATAATAAAATAAAAAAAAACCTTAAAAATTTTTAAAAGTGTGGGCGTAATAGTTTTGCGCGGTTTGTGGGCGTTGGAGTGGGCGTGGCAAAGAGCGTTTTGGCAAATCTATAGAAATTTACAAGATATATTTAAAAATGAAAAAATATCAACACATTTTTCAAAATTGTGATCGTTAGAGTAGGCGTGGCAACATAAACTTGCGCTGCGTCTATGTCTTTGCAAGCTGCATGCTTAATCACAATAATCTAGCTTTTGTAGTTCCTGAGATCGAGGCGTTCATACGGACAGACGGCGGGACATGGCCAGATCGACTCGGCTATTGATCCTGAAGAATATATATACTTAATATGATCGGAGACATTTCCTTCTTCCTGTTACATACTTTTCAACGAATCTAGTACCCTTTTACTCTACGAGAGTCCACTCTGATACTAACGCGCTTGCACTTTTGGCTTGGCGTTCTGCAATTAAGTCGCTTATAATCACTCGCTTTCGTAACTAATGCATATGCGTTATGCATTTTAATAATATTTGAAATCGCTACACATATAAGCCATCGTTACATTTCTTTAAAAACAACTAAAAAAAGATTATTAGCTCAACAAATACTATCGACTATCAGATACTTGTTACTCAGCAAGTATGAGTGCTATTTCAAGTCTTTTTTTACAATTACCCAAAAAAATATTTTTGTAAGGCGTAATAATAATTTTGGGCGTATCTAAAATGGTTTTTGGCAAAGTTGTTTGTTTTGATAAATAATAAAATTTAATAAATCTGCACATTTTTCAAAAGTGTCGACAGGACAGTTATTGGCGGAGTGTGGGCGTAAGAGGCGGCGTTTATCGAGCTGCCAAAAAAGCTTTTGTCACGCCAAATCTAACACCCACATGCCGCTCAAAACTGCAACTCTTACAGCATTAAATAATGCTTTGAGATTCTTTGGTTAACTATTTGTCTTGCCATTTTGTATCGGTATTCTAAAAACAGTTTGACAAACCGCCCAAAACTGTCAGTCCCACGACTTAAAATTTTTTGTTTTTCATTTCTTACCGATATTCCAAAAAATGTTGGAAATTTTTCTTTGCAATTCCACTAGCTGAGTAACGGGTATCTGAAAGTCTCGAAATTCGGCTATTGTGTTCTCTCTTATTACTTATAAATTTTTGACATAAATATGGAGGTCTCCAATTGAATATTTTTACATTATAGTATTGGATAAGAATCGCTTAACATGTTAAATTCTTTATACTGGAATCTAGTATATCTATTACCAACGGGGGCTTAAATACATTTATTTATTTTTATTGTATATATTTTATAAGCAATTTAACAATTGAGTGTACATTTATAATTAAACGTTTTCATTGTAAGCATATTTTTAATATTTACTGATATCATTTGGGGCTTAACATACAAACATAAGAACAAATTAAGTGTACCCAGGATTGAACAATAAGGCACCATAATTATACAGGTATAGTTGTATGAAAATCAACTTAACTGACACAAATAATTATTTTTGCTTTTATTAAAAAGTTTATTTTACAATTGCAAAAAAGAAAAAATATTTATATACGAAAACATGTGGTATTTACATTTTAATAATAAACAAAGTTTCAGAAAATTGTGTAAATGGCAGTTGATTTTTTAGAATGCATGCTAGAACGTAAAATAAAAAGACATCTGTTTATGAAAATATTACCAATTAAAAAACAAGTACAATATTTTAATTCCATAATATTATATTCATTGTTAATAATTACAATTATTCTTAAAAATCAGTAAAAATATATGTATTTATTTTGTACAGAAAAGTTACATTTACAAAAAAAAGTAAATTAATAGCATATAAAAGTGAAAAAACTTTTTTTAGTTATTAGATATTTTAATACTAACCATTTTACACTTTTCTTCGAACGCAAATGTAAATGAAAATAGTTGTGTATGAACATCATGTAAATATGAAAATGTTACTAGTTTCAAAAAATACGGCTCAAAGAAATTTGTATAAAATAAAAGAAAAGTGGTTGGTTTCTTGCAGTCATTTTCAACAATAAAAAGGTTATAATGGCTTTTTCATAAAATAAATTAATGTATTTTTATTTTTGGTTCCTACAAATACACACAAATAATAAAATATATACATTTGATAGTTTGCTCATGGGTGAAAATTTAAGGAAAGGTATATTGTTATTTAAATATAATTGGACATTGGCAGTGTTACAATTATTAAGCAAAAACAGTGCTTTGTGCGTTTTAAATATATATATATATACAATCTTGTTTCATATATAGTGATGGAGGATGCTATTTACAAACTGTTTAATCAGTATGTATGTAGGTCCTGTTTGCTCTTTTCAGATTTGTCGCCATATGGGTTAATTTACTTGTGCGTCAGGTAAAATATTAATTTATTGGAATGGATGGTGTGTGGTCCCCACATGTTGGGAATCCTGGTGGAACAGGTGGTAGATCAGCGTTAGTGCCGACCTGTAAAATCAAGTTCATACCAATAACAATGTGGAAAAGAAAATGACAGTGGAAGAGCCAGAAGCCTGAAACAGGTAAGTTTATTTAAGATGTGCAAAAAAATTAAACGTCTCTTTCGAAGCATACCAGGATTGTCAGCTCTAAACCGCAGCACAACATAGCCGTTATTTGGTACTGCAATTGTATCCTTAGTCGGCGGTAAATTGTACTGACGGTGTAAAAGTCCGCGCCTGTCTAGGTCCAAAGCGTGCTTCAAATTGATTTTCTTCACTGATGAATCTGGAGAACGCCCAATACCAATGACACTGAAACCGTATCCGTGCAAATGGAAAGGATGTGACAAATTGGGTTGTTGAACTGAAAAAAAAATGTTTAATGAATTAAAAACCTTAATTTTCTAATTCACTACGAAAATGTTTTAAACTACTCGGATGTTTAAAACTCATCATAATTGCGTTTGATGAAAGATTGTAGGCTTTTACTTTTGTTGGCAATGAAAATTCCGTACAAATCATATCTTGTAATCGAACGAAGAACCCAGATCGTGTATCAATACTGGAAAGCTAGGATTGGCCTGTAGTGTATGTGTGAACAGCTGAGTTGGGTATAATAAAATAAAAAGGATAATTTTTCTTTATACCCACAGCTTGAAACATAACTAATTGTTTCAAAATTGATTAACAGAATAGGAACCAACTAAGAAAACTTAATATTGATTCTTAAAATATTTTTAACTCGGCTGCACTATACCTATAGCTGTACCTATAAGGTACATATATTCATGATCAGGATCACTAGCCGAGTCTACCTACCTACTTTCATTACAAGTTCATTTGAATCAAGAAATTTAAAAATATTTTATTTTGATCTGAAGGTAAAATTTTCATTTTTAAAAACCCGTTACTCGTAGATTGAAATGGTATACTAGATTCGTTGAAAATTATGTAACAGGCAGAAGGAAGCGTTTCCAGCCATATAAAGTATATATATTCTTGATCAGAGTCAGAACCAGTCTGTCTGTTCAAAAACTAAAAAGTTGAAATTATGCTCGCAGATTCCATAACATTTGTTCGCCCACATTAACGACCACAAGTTTTATGAGAGTTAATTTGGGTAACGTTTGTCCTTTCCAGGACTTACTTTACCCATCTTATTAACAAGGTTAAACAACGGGTTAAAGGGTTCAAAAATACGTGCCATCTTATGGTGGACATGGTCGTCGATGCTGTCCATATTATCTAATAACGTTTTTGAAATGAAAAATTTTAAATTCAAGTAAGGAAGATTTTTAAATTCCATAAAAAGGAATAGTCCGGATAATGCAAAGGGTCCGACATGAGACCGATTGCTGATCAAGAATATATAAACATTGGGCGTACAAATACAAGTAAGCCCTCTGCAAGAGTATTAAAATACATATACATATATTCAATAAAGAGCTTACCTTCATCGACTAACACGACTTCCACAATTGCGTTGAGTGGAATATCAATTTTATGAGTACACATACAATTTGGTCCACAATCTGCGGGTCGATTATCTCCGTTACAAAACTGTTCTGGGTTTATATCATTATATTGAGAAGTCAGTGGCGCTGGAGCCGATAGGTACGAAATTTCATCGATGAGTGATATTACATGGTCGCCGGTGGGTGCCACTGAAATATTTGTACTTAGTGATTATCTTAAAACCAATATTTTGCTACGTACCTAAAAATCTATTGTATGTGTTTGGCTGGAAAAGATCTTCAGCCCGGTAAACGAAGAAACGGAATGGTAAAAAAATCTTCACGTCTGGCTTCTCTGCCAATATACCACGATCAATCTCAAGAGCGTTTTTAAGTTGGCTTACACATATGGCATCGTTTCGTTGACGGTTGCATTGAGCATCCAAAGGATTCATAACCTTTTCAATTATTTGGTGCGATTTGGAAGGTCATAAAATACAACGGTATTTGTGTTTTTTATATACAGGTGCGGTTAACCAAAGTTAAAGTGGATTTTGTTTTGGTGATAATGTACATATTGGGTATTTAAAGAAACAAAAAGAGAACACATGTTTTATATATAATATACATATATATATATAATAATATATTGTACATATATATACATGAACATACATATATTTATTTGTTTTATATGTATATATACATATATATACAAAAAGTTACTTTCAGAAAAGAAAGCATATAAATACTTTATTGGTAATTAAATACTAAATTCACAAGCATACAATATTTAAAAATACAACACCAGGTTATTAAATTATGTCTATAATTGAATTTTTGAAACTTTACTTAAAAAAATGTTTCCTTTAACATAATTTAACCAGAGACCCAATTTTATAATGAAAATAGGAAGTAAATAAAATTGGCTAAAACAAATGAGAAATGGAATTTCATTGAATTCATCACATAATTTGAATTATCAACATACATATAAATGAAATTATCAATAGAAGATTTAGAAGCTCTACGAAGCTTTTGATCGCGCCTTATTTCGATAATAAAAATAATATGATAATAAATAATAGGCCTAGGTTCTCTATTAAGGAGAGGTGCACTTTATATTTGAGCTGCTGCCAGTTTAATAATAATAATGCTCTGTTAATGGTCTGACGGATTTTAGATTACAAAAACGAAAAATAAAAATCTTTCATTCTAGTAAGAATGAAGAAGAAGAAATCGATCTTAATAAGTCCCAACCGGATTTTTTTCCAGTATTGATTGCCAAAAAAAAATTGTATTGTACTACCAATTGTATAAGTATTTATGGGAACAAATTAATTCTTTCATAATTATTAAAATTATCATTTTGGTGAATATAGATACTTACGACTCCTTGCGGTATTCCCACATCGTATGTTGGCGGAGAAGACGCTGGCTGATAAGGTCCACGAGCGTAACGTAGGATAGCCAGTTGTTGAGCTCTACGAATACCGCACTCACCAAGTCCACGTAACTGTATCCAATACGCTCCCACAGGTTGATCGGCGCTTATAACAAAATCGTAGCGCTCACCTTAAATGTAAGAAATTGATCAAGAATATAGTTAGAAAGAATTATGTAAATTTTGGCTTATACGCTTATAGGCATAACTTTTAACCATTTTAAACATTTCGGAAAGAGCTAATTATTCACAATTATTATACTATTATTATACAAAAATGACCATTGTGATATTGACAAGACAGATCAGATGCTAGATCGAAAACCAACCTGGGTACAGGCGCTTATTAACTTCGGCAACAGCGATAGTAAAAAGCAACTTAAACAAGAGTAAGTCGCCCCTTAAAGTGACACAAGCGACCAGCAAGAAAGCGAAAGCAAACAATGACGGCGCATGACACAGGTCGTGTGCGGAGGTGGTAAGGGAAATGAGGTTACCTTTCAAAAACGGTAAAGGACGATTTTGCTCGATTTTCATAGTCGATTATAATTAAGACAAAAAAACCCTGTAGTGGTCACCTAGACCCTTATAAACGTCTTTCTTTTTCTTTCGTCCCTAAATTACTTTCTTGACGCAAGGTCCAACTATCTGAAAACTAACCTCAAGTTAGTGAGTACTGTAATATCTTTTTGAAAGGTCCATGAAGAAAACAATGAGCAAACAAACTGAAACAATATAAATTCTAAGCAGCAAAGTGCTTCCTGAACCCCACATCCCAACATCCCACATTGTCATTCCTAACGTACTACAATTCATTTTAAGAACTAGCAGTTTTTATCTTATAATTTCATTAAGTTTTTTTTAAGTTTATACTTATACATTTTACACCTGTCTGTATGACCGTCCAAGTTTTTTGACCTATAAAGTCTGGAAAGTTGAGAAGAAGCATGCAGATCTCGTTCTCCCAAATTAAGTGTTACTTGTGGGAATTTTGTTGGTAAAGGTGCCATATTGGTGCAATCAGATGATGCCTGGAGTGGACATTTTAAACGACTTAAGATTGCTGCTTCATCAGCAAACGTCGATGTCATTATTTCCTGGTTCATTGGTATGCCTGCCGTATATAGACTAGTTCCAAGGTTCATTGCTTCATAGGCAGCTTTTAGGCTTCGCTAAAGTTAAATCTACGATTTCAGGACCTTGCGTATGTTTTGGGGAAGTAGGATGTCAGCTTTATAGAGTAGAGCTGCCAGACAAACCACGTCGAAGGTTTTTTACTTGATGTTTTAGTGCATAAAGAAGTAAGCTAGTGGTCATGTGGTAACTTCGAGAAGCTTTCGCCATTTATGACGTTTTCCTAACTCTTCTTTATATCTAGTACATTGGAATAAGATAGTTTTTTAACTGTTTTTCTTTACCAGCAGTAAAGTACATATGTGGGTTTTGCAGTCCGAATAACTATTCACATAAAATAAAAATGTTACTCGTAGAGTAAAAGGGTAAACTAGATTTGTTGAAAAGTATGTAATAGGTAGATAAAAGCGATTATGAAGCAATAAAGCTACGATTCGCAGTTAGAATTCCCCATTCAACTCAATCAGCTAAGACACACTGACAGTGGCTCCAAACCGAATGCTTTGCATTTGGAGTACATTTGTAGTATGTAACAGTCAGAAGAAAACGTTTCCGACCATATAAAGTATATATACACGGTGTGTCCCAAAAATAACTGAACTTTATATTTAAGTCATATCTATTGTTATGTTTTTTATTGTTATGTTGCACCTATTTATTTGCAACTAAATATTTAACAATAAAAAGATACGTTCATCCTCTTTCAAACGCACTTAACTTCATGTAAGTCGGATGACAGATGTAAAAGTTACAGCCATTTCAATAAAAAGTGTTCTGATGGTTCAAAAATAAAATTCCACAAGGAATTTGTTCCAGAAGGTCAAACTGTTAATAGAGAATACTATTTAGGCGATTTACATCGTTTGTGGAAAAAAATCGGTCGTGTTAGACCAGAATATCCAGCAGGAATACAGCTGTTTTTATTGCACGATAATGCACCACAAGACCAAAAAAGTGAACGAATTTTTAATAAAAAAAAGGGATTCTCTCATCGACCATCCGCCGTATTCGCCTGATCTATCACCATTTGACTATTTTTTATTTCTAAAACTGAAAACCAAGATGAAGGGAGCATTTTACCCAAGCCATTCAAGCAGCCATTACCGAGGTACTGAAGAACATTTCTATAAATGACATAAAAAAATCTATGCTTGCGCTGGCTGATCGTTCCAAATGTTGTGTTGAGTGAAATGGAACCTATTTTGAATAAATAATAACTTTCAAAGATAATATAATGTGTATTATATTATATTTTAAATCCAGAAAGTTCGGTTATTTTTGGGACACACCGTGTATTCTTAATCAGGATCAATAGTCGAGTTGATCTCGCCATGTCCGTCCGTATGAACGCCTTGATCTCAGGAACTATATGTATAAGCTAGAATGCTGATATTACGCACGGAGATTCTGGAGACATTGTCGCAGCCATTTTCGTTTCAAAATGTTGCCAAGCCCACTCTAAGGCCCAAAAACCACCCAACACTGCCAGGTCCACACCTTCTAAAAAAGGTTTGATTTTTTTGTACTTTTTATTAGTCTTGTATATTTCTGTTGATTTGAAAAAAAAAAACTTTTTGTACGTCCACTCTAACGCATACAAACCGCCCAAAACTGTCACGCCAACACTTATGGAAAATGCTTTGATTTTTTTTATTAGTGTTGTAAATTTCTGTCGACTTGTTAAAACCCTTTTTGCCACCCCCACTCTACATACTCTTGATTCCTTTTCGTTTTATTATTTGTTTTCACAATTTCATCGGTATACCAAAACACTTTGGCAAGGCCTTACCTAACTCCTACAAACCACCTAAATCTGTCATTTGTTGCTTTACAAATTTTAAACTTTTTTTTTTTTTTTTGTTCCCTCAATTTGTACCGATATTATAGAAAATATTGAAATTTCTTTTTTTTCACTCTCACTAACTGAGTAACGTTTATCTGATACTCGGGAAAACTCGTCTATAGCGTTCTCTCTTTTCTTTAATATTTGACACAACTATTGACGATTTCTTGTCTTTAGTGCTAGTAGCTTATTGTGCTAACTGTTATTTTGCTGATATATCAATTCTTGGACGTTGCGACTGAAATTTATTTCATTTTTATAATACTATTGAACTATGTGCGAGGCCAACTTTTTTTCTAAGTTATTCAAATCAAGGGCTTTTTCTGGCTTTTTATTCGCTTAAATAAGATAAGTCAGGTTTTCGAGAGGTTCAGGTCCAGCAAGATTCATAATATTATTCAATCGTAGTGATGTCGTTTTCGCCATCGGTTGAAGTAGCGGTTTGATGCTCGTATTACCCTAACTGAGTGCGTACCCGTATCCATACACCCGACACTATCTGTTTGTATCACGCTATGTCAGGTCGCTCGAGAGGTTGAAGTCTGTATGGATACCACAATTACTAGGGCAGGTGACCGAAATTATCACTCTGTCCTACGCTATTCGTTTGTACACAGGCGCAGAACCATGTCGCCGGTCCAGAGAGAGATAAAATAGTTAGGCGATTTCACTGTTCTGTCTGGAATACGAATCTTTTTCGTATGTCTATTAGCAAACTGGCAGCTTCGGTTGGGACTTCGGTAAAATCAGGTAAAAAAATACACTTATTTAGACTCGTCACCGGCATGTCAAAGAGATTCTTAAGAAGTCAGAAGAGGAAAGTGAAGCGGAAGAGTACCAGATAGACATTTTAGAAGTGCCGACGAACCGGGAACAGATAATGAAATACCGGCCAAGTGGAACCCAATCCGACTAACAATCAAGTAATCACAACGAACAAGCCGGCAAACTTCTACAGCCAACTTCTCCCAAGCCAGGTTCCATGACACACACTGGCATAATTGTGGCAGGAACGACTAGAATCGGTCCACTTATTCCGCCATTTATCAAAAAGGTCTGATTTGAGAATCGGGAGAACCCGCCAGTCAGAAAACCGAAACCCAGAAGCAATAGAAGTCGCGATTGTCCGTCTATTCGTTTGACTGTCCGTCCTTATGATTTTATATAATTCGGAAACTTTAAAAGCTAGCAATTTGAGGTTAATGACGCCTACGCTGTGCCCTCACAAACGCCCACAAGCCGTTCAAAAACTGCATTTGAAAATTTGTTAGAGTAAAAATGGTTTAGTAGATCTGGTGTAGTCGATCTCACGAACTATAATAGCTTGAAAGAAATGAAGCGTACAGGTTACAGAGACATATACCCAGTGCAAGTTTGTCTTGTTTCCCACTCCCACTGTACAACATTTTGTTGATTTTTTCCATTATATCATTTTTTTGACAATTTCTATCGACATGCCAATGTATGGCCGTTTTACATCTTGTTTTTGTATGTCTTTGGCTGAACCTTCTCGTTCGTACTTCCACTAGCTGAGTAACGGGTATCTGATGGTTGAGGAACTGGACTGTAGCATTCTCTTTTGTTATACGTTACACGTAGTGTAAATGGGTATTCTAGACTCGTTAAACTCGTTGAAAAGTATTTCCCGGGCAGAAGGAAGTGTTTATAGTATATAAGTATATTAGATCCTGGGTTAGATTAGCAGGGTCGAACTGTTCAGAGACATAGACGCAGCGACAGTTTGTTTTCAATTTTTACCACACCCATACCTTTAAAATATGTCGTGCTATTTTTTTAATTTTTTTATATGTATATATTGTAAATTTCTATAGATTTGCAGAAAAACTGTTTGCCACTCTAAAGCCCACAAACCTCCAAAAACTGTTACGCTCTAATTTAATAATTTTTTACCAATTATACCCCCAGTTTCTTGCAATATTCCACAAAATGTTTAAATTTCTCGTTCGCCCCTCCACTAGCTGAGTAATGGGTATCTGATATTCGGGGAACTCGACTATAACATTCTCTCTTGTTTTGTTTTTGTCCAATTTCTATTGATGTGTCAAAAATATTCTGCCAGAAACTGAACAAAAATGTCACTCGCTTTTTTTTTATGGAATCTGAGTAATTTCACCGCTCTTCCGAAAAACTTCTATCGATAACTGAAATCAACAATGATTAATGAAATTCGGCAATAAGCGTTCTTTGGTAATTGGCTAGGCTCGGCAGTTGCAATTGACTCCCAAAAAGGTAGATATCGAGAAATATTACTCATAGGTTGAAACACTTAGCTAATTCAACCAATCACTGGATCCTGGAGTCAGTGGATCGGAGCATGGACGATACACAACAAGAGGACTCATTTCCCAAATGAAGCTGCAGTGACCAATCATACCGTGACCTTTCCATCCTGGAAATAAGACCAATCTTTCGGCACGTACTGTAACCTTAAAACGAAATTTTTGTGTCCCATTTAAATAACGAACCGAATAACTAAAGGAAAACTGAGATCCACCAACAACCCCAGCGAGCCCGGTACCACCTAACCACCCTTCCCCCTCAATTTGAACCATATACTCCAGAAATATTACAGCCATCTTGAGTGAATCTTGAGTAATCTCATCTTTAAACTCGTCGTTTAAAGGCACAGAGATACTATTCAAATTTCCTACATTTAATTGTTAGGGTAAATTGAAATCTCTTTTCGGTTCATATCAAAACCAAATAATGGATAGCACGGGAAATCTAAATTTATAAACAAGTTACAGAGGGTTCTAGAAATTGTTGCATAGTTTGAGTTTAGAAAAACACTGGAAATTTAAAAATAATGCCGAATGACAGGAATGGCACCAGCTATTTATCACAAAGTTAATGATTTTTTTTAAGATAATGATTAGGCAATCTGTATATAAGTAATAGCTGTTAAGATACTAACTACATTCATATCATTAAAGATCTCTGGTTCGATTGAAAAAGCAACTTACCTGAAAATGATATGATTGTGTTAACATCAACGGGATGCACAGGCTCACCATCGGTGGCTATAACCGTCATGCCATGGCTCTCGATCGTTACCTGTGCTGGACAGACTGAAGCAAATGCGTTTATCATCCGAAAGCGGTAACGACGTCCTGGTGTAATCGTGAATATTTCCAATGGAGTATTAGTCATAAAGCCAGTGTTTGGGTCGCGAAACTGGCCTTTTCCATTAATCAACATGGACTCCGGATCTTGGCCTGTGTTAACAGCCAAACGTCCTGGATATCGCTCGGCTGCATCTTCATGCAACCAATCACTGATAAGCATTATATGTGTTGTTAAATCAAAATCATATAAATGGGAGTTTGGGTCCCTTGATGGTGGCTGTCGAACCACGACGCTGCCGTATAGTCCATCTAGTTTCTGAAGACCGGTATGAGCATGCCAGAAATGTGTCCCGGCGTTTCCTGTCCACTGATAACGGAAGGTATTACCCTGCTGAATGGGGCATTGAGTGACAAAGGGTACGCCATCATAATACTGCGATCCACGTTGCCATATACCGTGCCAGTGTATAGTTACTTCCATTCCCTCCATATGGTTTTCCACATCAATAACCACCTTATCGTTTTCACATACTTGAATGCTTGGGCCAGGTATCATACGATTCGCAGTAAGAATTCCTCGTTCAACTCCATCAGCTAAGACACACTGACAGTGGCTCCAAACCGTATTCGTTGCATTTGGAGTACATACTTGGCACGCACTGTGTGTAAATATAAATGTTTATAATTAAAATGAGGTCATTCCGAAGAAAATTCTTCTGAATTAATAATAACAATATTAAAGTTTATTTCAAGCTTGCCCAATTTTAAGGGGAAACAACTATTGAGATATTTAGATACTATTTTTATACTCGTTACTCGTAGAGTAAAAGGGTATACTAGATTCGTTTGTAGTATGTAACAGCCAGAAGAAAAAGTTTCCAACCATATAAAGTATATAATATATATTCTTGATCAGGATCAAAAGCCGAGTCGATCTGGCCATGTACGTCCGTCTGTCCGTATGAACGCCTCGATCTCAGGAACTACAAAAGCTCGAATGTTGAGATTAAGCATGCAGCTTCCACAGACTTAGACGCAGCGCAAGTTTGTTTCCAAATGTTGCCACTTGTTTCTATATATCTGAAAAAAAAACTTTTTGCTACGCCCATTCCAACGCCAACAAACCGCCCAAAACTGTCACGCCCACCCTTTTCAAAAGTGTGACATTTTTTAACTTTTGTATATATCTTTTAAATTTTGATAGATTTCTAAATTCGAATACCCACAAGCCGCCCAAAACTGACACAACCACACTCTTAAAAAATTTGTAAGTTGTTTTTATTTTATTATTTTTCCCCAATTTTTACCGATATTCCAGAAAATTTTGAAGTAACGGGTTTCTGATATTCAGGGAACTCTACTTTAGAATTCTATCTTGCTCTACTTAGTCAATATAATTAATTGTCAAAACTTGTTAAACCAAGAAATAGTGTCTCATGTTACAAAACAAAAATACAACCAAGGTATGCTTGGTATGCTATACTACAAGCTACGATCAGACCCGAGGATAGATGTCTAAGAGAACGAGAAAGATGCTTAAAAGGGATGTATCCTAAAATCAACAGTTTGGGCAATAGGATAACTTTAGGTTCTATGTGCTATATTCAACCATCTATCCCTGTGACTTGATTGCTGCAGTATATTCACGGAAAAGATATTGATGACTTTATCAAGAGCATGCAGATCAACTCCGTTATCGTCGAAAATGAGTTGCAAATAAGTAGTTAAAGTTCCGGTCATAGTTTTTCCTCAATTTTTTTTCATATTAATCAACAATCGATCAACTAAAAAAGTATTTTAATCCAATACCATTTGGTATCAAATTAAATGGTGCAGTTCTTAGTCAATACCCATGATAAATGAACAAATTTCATTATTTAAACAATGTATATCTAATATATTTGGGTATAGGGAGAAAAATAAATACTTAAACTCTAAGATGCTCAATTCGTGCATGCACTCTTTTAAAGCAAATCAAAATCTTTGCTTATTATTATTAAAATAAAATCAATCTTCCTTCATAAACACTTTTTGTTTAAAACAAAATATTTTTTCTTTATATGAAGGTATAAAACATACACATTTTTTATAGAAACATACATTTTTATTTTAACCGAAAGACCAGGTTTTTTCGCACCTAATGTAAAAATACTGTTACACTAAACCCATATAAATATTTATATTAAGCAAAGAGCTATAATCGATATTCATAGATTGCATTCATTGAATTATATGCGACTACCTTTTATTCAAAATTCAAATCTTTCTAATCAAACATTTTTGGATTGTTAAATACTTACGCGCCCAATACTGTGTAGTATTCCAACGTAAAATGATAATAGCAAATTCTCGGAGGCTCGCCTTCGCGACAGGCGCGTGCACATTCATCAGGGGCAGATAGTGCAGGATTGCGCCGCAGTTCAGCAGTTGCACTAGTAGAGAAATCTAAGTGACGGAAAGGAGATTTTGGGTTGGGTTCGACCACGGTCCCTGTGATCTTATTAGCTGGATAACGTGCAGAGGTCGGTAGACTTCCGCGAGAGTTCAGATACCCGCTACCAGCGGTTAGAGATGGTTTAGTACCAGCTAAGATTGAGGAAGGCACACCAGTCCCAAGGCTATTGCTATTTAATGGAGCGGGCCCGGAATGACTTCCACCCAGAGAGGGGTGAGTCTGCACAAGGCCATGTGTTGCTGAAAAAAATGGTGAATCAAATGGAGTTGAACTACTGGGAGTGGCCACATGTTGCTGCCAAAAGGACCCCAATGGTGTAAGATCCGGTTGATTTGCTGCATTAAATAAAACGAATAAAAATATATATAATAGTTGTCAATATGAGATATAAGACTTTAGATATAAGACTATGTCGATATAAAGCTTTCGTAATCAAATTATCTAGCTTTTATCTTTTTCATTGATATTGCCCAAATATATAATTAATATATAATTAAAGTGTTAAATACACTTAATAACTGGATTTCCCGGACCCGTTACTCGTAAAGTATTAAAATTATTTATAAGGTAGATGGAAGCATTATCAAGAAATTATATAAGCATGTTTTAATTTCCGTAAGATATACAGATTAGCTACATACGCTAGTTCATTTTTTTATTTATTTTATTACATTTGCTGCTTTGTAAACAAAATGCGTATCTCAATAACCTAAAAAATGATTGGT